TCTTTTGCCCTCCGCCCACCGGCACCCTCCCTTTCCCTCTTTCCTCTCCCCTCTACTTTGGCTTTTATCCCCACTGCACCCCAGGGCTCTGGCTGATGTAATTCTAGAAGAGATGCGAAGGTGATACATGATTCACCTCTTCTTACATCTCAGTCTTCCGGGGATGACATCACTAGCGTAAGGAGAGATGTTTTAAATGAAAAAACAAAATAAAACAAAACCGGAAAACCGATTTACTCTTGACACTCAGAGGGAAAAGAATGGTGTGACAAAAGCACAGCGAAATAGAGGAAATACACATTCCAGAAAGCACCTGAGGTCTGGTTTATTCATCAAATTTAGCTTTTCTGTCTCGCAAGGTGAGGCTCACGTTTCTCCTTTACTACCCGATGGTACTTTAAATGCAGTGAGACTCTTGCCACAGTCGTCCCCAGCCTAAGTAGTCCTCGGTGTCCAACACTGCAGGCTTGACTGCACGAAACACAGAGTGACTTCTGGCTGAAAGAGAGGTGGTTGCAGGGGTGGCCGCATGCGTCCACGGAGGAGGTGTTTCTCCACCTCTCTCGGCACAAACATCCCCTGTTTGTACAATTTTTGTGTGTGTTGAGGCGGAAGGAGAGAGGAGTAGGACAGAGTAAAATAAACAATGGTATTACATAGCCTCTCGACTATACAGTGTCAGACAACACCCACTCTACACACACGCGTGCTCCCCCCTAAAGAAAACCTTCCCCCTCACTGCCCCTCAGTCAGCAGAAGAGTGGATTTTAAACAAATTAGAAAGGCTCTGTTATACTGAGAAAGCACAATGCCCTCCCAGGGACAGAGTTGCCTTTAAGGGTTCTACTTGTGAAAGGAGAAAGAAATGGCTGGTAGAATCCACCCCTGGCACCACACTGGAGATTAGAAAACTGCATGGGAGTCACCAAGAACCATGAGAAACGTAACAATTCTATTAGGAGCTCGTTGCCCTCATTTCTAAAGGGTTTAGTAATGTAATAAGAAGAGCTCTTTCCTCTGTGTGGTATGCAACCATAGCCTTAGCATCTGCTGGTAAGTGATGCGTGACAGAGCTAGCAATGTGCGTAGACTGTTGGTGCTAGGAGCCTTGCCTAGCACGTGGGAAACTATGCAGGGCTCCAGGCGGGCAGGAGGCCCCTAGGGCCAGGGTGCTCTATACTCTTGGCACCAGGTTTTTCTGTACTTGGCCACATCTGTCTCTAGGTATTTTTTGATTTCCTCTTTGATTTCTTCAGTGATCCATTGGTTGTTTAGTAGCATATTGTTTAGCCTCCATGTGTTTGTGTTTCTTTCAGTTTTTTTTCTTATAGTTGATCTCTAGCCCCATAGCGTTGTGGTTGCAAAAGATGCTTGTTATGATTTCAGTTTTCTGAAATCTACTGAGGCTTGCTTTGTGACCCAGCATGTGATCTACCCTGGAGAATGTTCCATGTGCTCGGCCCCATCTGGATCTGGCTTTATGGTTAGCCGGGGCCTTTCCTGCTCCTGCTAGCTCATCCATGTTCACAATATGCCTGGGACCAACCCCACTTCCAGCCCTCGCCCCCCCCCCGCCCCCCGCCAGCTCTGGACTGACCAATCTGAACATCCTTGACTAACCATCATTTTGGTGGTTTGAATGGCTAGGTGGCCCTGCAGCTTGGCACTAATTCCTTCACCGCTCTAGGGCTGTTCAGTGGCACCAGCAAAGGCCCTTGTTTCTAACCCCGAGGGAGAGCAGCCCTTCCAACCACCTCCTTTCCGGGTTCTCTTCTTCATCTGTCTCCCACCCCACTTCCTCCTGTAACACATCGTCCCCCCTGGGCTTCCCCTATTACCCAGCTTCCCACCTGATCCTGGCTTCATTTTTCCTTCTTCCCACAAACCTAGTTCAGACTTTAATCACATGGAAGAAAAGAAAGCCCAAACTTTAAAGGAAAAACAAACCAAGCACACAGTCATCCATCAGGACCAACCCTGCAACTCCAGGGCATGCTTTGGCCCTGCCCACCCCCCACTTAGAAATGAATAAATGAGGTACAGAGGGGTGATGTCCTGCCCAAAGTTATACAAGGAGACACCAAGACCCAGGGGTTCAAACTCCTAAACCCATGCTCTTTTCATATTCCTCCAGTTTTTATGGCTTACAATTAGATTTTTAGCTTTGGGATGGCAGAAACTGGCAGTTGAATTGTTCTTTGATTCCCCCTTTCTTATGTACCCCTACATTTTACACATGGTAGATGCTGGATGATAAACTTGTGTGCCATTCTTCAACGTGCCACTCCCACCAACAAGTGCACATGAGTGTCTACTAGCTGCACGATGCTGAAGGTAGAGGGGCCAGGTGTCTGTCTTCCTGGCAAGGATGCTGCTGGTGGGTGGGGTGGCCACCCCCAGAGAAACTTGGTCTCCTCTTATTTCCACCCCTGAGGTCTGGTCTGGCAAGGTCTTGCCCTAGAAGAGCAGGTGTAGTTTGAGGGTGAGGGAGCTCTTTCCCT